TGAAGCAGAGGAATAAAAACTTAGTAGATTATAAAACATTTGGCAGAGGACAACACGTGCAAGCAGTTTAGTTACGTTTTCCTCCCGTCCTCCTTTCTGCTGTGCTCCTGTGAGCGTAGTTTGGTCTCAAGCAGAGAAAAAGTGATTTCACCAGCTCCTGTGGGCCAAATTCCAGCCTCAGGCCAAGGTGTGCATCTTCGCTGGAGCTCATGTGGTCCGAATCAGGGGTGGCAGGAGCCCTCTGTTTCTGAGCAAAAGATGAATGAGCGCGGTACCAGATGAAAGGCAGCAGTGAGTCTAATGGAATCAGTTTACAGGGAAACCTCCACCCAAATGAATTTTATTTGTCTCCCAGCTACAAACGAAATTCATTTGTTCTGGACTTCCTGACAGATTCAAATGTGTCGAAACTTTAGGGTCGCGAAGGTGGTCGCTTTGCATTGACGACTGTGGGTTTAGTGGCACACTGGTTTAAATCAGCAGATTTCAAACAGATTTTGTATTGAAGTTTGGGACAGAGTTGAACCCAATTTTCCTGAAGAGAGTTGTGGTGTGTGAACAGATTTATGTGGCTGGTCAGTAGCTGGAAGCAAAGCCATTAATGTTTGAACATCTCTGGATGTTATCTGGGAAACTGAAAAAGCAATTAAGTGCTTGGAGAGACATTTAAGGGAAGAAAATAAAATCAAATACAAAAAAAAAAGGCTTTGGGAATTCAGTGAGACGAGGGAAGAAGACCGGAGAGGTATTTGAGGAGGAAGCTGCAGTAGAATGGGAAAATACTAACAGGGAATAGAAGTAAACTGAATAAAGTGGAAATCAGCCAGAGAACCCCAAACCCTTCATCTTTAAAGCAATTTCTTTACCTAGGTCATAGGGTGCAAGTGCTGGGCCTTGTCCTGTGTTACCAAGAAATTAATTCATTTAAATTTGGCTGAGATAAAGGTGTGCGAGTTAAATGGAAGCCTTGAGTCAACTGAACAGTGTGAGGCTTGGTCTTACAGCTCCTTGTCATTTTTCAGATGGGAATCTTCCATTCAGTTGCAAAGGCCAGCTGCCAGAATGATGGTGCTTCTTAGGGAAAACATTAGGACTTTTAAATAGGTCGTCTATGAAGATAATCACATCATTTGTAAGGACAAGAAGTAAAGCTGGATATATTGTTGGCATTTGCACATCAAATGCAATACCAAAAACTGGACTTTGGTATCATATAAAGTCTCTAGCGTATATTGATTAACTGCACAGTGAAAGAGAAATGCAAGACGGGCAGCTGAGTTGGATACACCTATTCATAAGTGGTGTTTGTGTAATGGCTAGTGGCAAGAACTGAATATATCTTTGTGTTGCTTATTTGTGGTTCAATACGTGTGTCGCTTGAGCTTGTTTCATAGCCTAACACTGTTAAAAGCTCTGGTATTTTACCTGTGCGCTTTAGGTTTCAATAAGGTGCAAAAGCTGGAGCTCTAAGGGCAACTTAAAATGCATTTTTCTTTGAGGATACTAATTATCCAGATTTGAGATGCATCTCATTTATAAAAATACATATGTTCTAAGTGCTTTAACTACACTGTTCATGGAAATTTGTGTTTATAGCATAGAGTGAGTACCTGAAGTCTGAAATACCTACCTCACATTTCTCAGTTGGAAAGCATCTTATTTAAGGAGAGCTTCTCTTAAATCATAATGCAACTGATGAACTCATTGTAGCAACTTTACTTAGTCTCCACAACGTATATAAATGTTTTTATGCTTAGGTTTTGTTTTTTTTTTTAATATTGGGATGTTATGATACATTACAGTCAGCTATCTAGGTCAAATCATATTAGTTATTTATATTTAATAGGTTCAAAAAGAGTTTGAGCATTTGGCGCGTACGTTTTTTCCCCAGGTAACAAGCAGAACGGCTGTGCAGATACCTGACGGGTCTGTTGGTTGTCATGGCACTCAGTGCAAAGGAGCGGAGCTGTCCCAGCCCCATGCTGGGGGAATTAAAAATGAAAATGAGAAAGATTA